GTTACAAGGACAAGACCGCGCTTCAAGGTCTGTCCTGGTTGTGTAGCTCAATAGAGTGCCGAGGTGTCGAACTGAGCTTCCAGGTCCGTCCTCCTAGTGGTGCGTCGAGCTTTGGAGTTGGGTCCGAATTTCGGAGTTGAGGCTGTTGTAATGCTCGACTATGATGTGCCAAGCTTCCAAAGTTGGGGCTTAGCTTGGTCGTATGCTGAGGAAAGGCTTTTTGTTGTCGGCCAAAGGCCGAGCTTCAGAATTGACGTTGTGATGCCTGACCACGGGGCGTCGAACTATGGAGACAGAGCCCTTAGGGGTGCCGAGCTGTGGAACTGAGGCCATTGCGATGCTCGGCTATGACTTGCCGAGCTCTGAAGCTGAGGGCCCCCAGGTGGTGAGCTATTGTGATATTCGAGGGCCTACAGGTGTTGAGCTTGTTGTGATGTTCGGTTGTGGCTTGCCGATCTTCGAAGCTGAGGGCTTTGCAGGTGCCGAGCTTTGGAGTCTGTGCCTCTCCGACGCCCCGCCGAGGAAGGTGTTGAGCTTTGAAATCTAGGTCTCCCTGAGGCTCGTAGCGTAGTGCCGAGGAGGGTGTCGAGCTTCGGAGTCTACGCCTCTCCGATGCCCCGCTGAGGAAGGTGTTGAGCTTTGAAGTCTGGGTCTCTCCGAGGCTCTATAGCACAGTGTCGAGGAGGGTGCCAAGCTTCGGAGTCTGCACCTCTTTGAAGCCATGTAGCATCGCACCGAGGAAGGTGTCGAGCTTCGAAGTCTGGATCTCTCCGATGCTATGTAGTGCAGTGACGAGGAAGGTGCCAAGCTTCGGAGTCTACGCCTCTCTGAGGCTCGGTAGCGCTGCGCTGAGGAAGGTGTTGAGCTTCGAAATCAGGGTCTCTCTAAGGCTCTGTAGCGTTGTATCGAGGAAGGTGCTGAGCTTCGGAGTTTGCGCCTCTCCGAGGCTCGGTAGCGCTGCGTCGAGGAAGGTTTCGAGCTCCAGAGTCTATGCCTCTTCGATGCCCCACCGAGGAAGGTGCTGAGTTTCGAAGTCTGGGTCTCTCCAAGGCTCGGCAGCGTAGTGCCGAGGAAGGTGCCGAGCTTCGGAGTCTACGCTTCTTTGAAGCCAGGTAGCGTTGCACCGAGGAAGGTGCTGAGCTTCGGAGTCTATGCCTCTTCGAGGCTCAGTAGCACTGCGTCGATGAAGGTGTCGAGCTTCGAAGTCTAGGTCTCTCCAAGGCTCGGTAGCGTAGTGCCGAGGAAGGTGCCAAGCTTCGGAGTCTGCGCCTCTCCAAAGCCAGGTAGCGTCGCGCCGAGGAAGGTTCCGAGCTTCAAAGTTTGGGTCTCTTCGAGGCTCGGTAGCACTACGCCGAGGAAGGTGTCGAGCTTCGAGATCTTGGTCTCTCCGAGGCTCAGTAGCGTTGCGCCAAGAAAGGTGTTGAGCTTCGATGTCTAGGTCTCTCCGAGGCTTGGTAGTGCAGTGCTGAGGAAGGTGCCGAGCTTCAAAGTCTGCACCTCTCTGATGCCCCACCGAGGAGGGTTCCGAGCTTCGAAGTCTGGGTCTCTCTATGGCTCGGTAGTACTGCATCGAGGAAGGTGTTGAGCTGTTGGGCCGAGCCCCCCTGATACTACACCGAGGATGGACTCTCTATTCTTTGGTTGAGGAATTTGTAGCTTAAGTTTCGAAATCCGAACACGACTCCCCCAGTTCCAAAGTCGAAGGGTGGAGTGCTCGGCCGAAGTGTAGTGCGGCTTCCCTTGGTTGGCATTGTTGTCGATTGCCCTAGTGAGGATTGAACAGCTGCGGGTTGCTCTTAGAATTTTGTCTTCTTTTGTCTTTTTCTTATTTGATAGCTCGGTATGCCAAGCTTTAACCTGTTGTACTAATGGCTTAACTTAATGAAACTGTTTTGTTTTGAACTTGTGTGCATACATACAAGTTGGTTCCTCGGTCTTACCTTGGTCGAGGTCTGAGGTTAACCGAGATCTTCAGTCTTTGGCTAGTGGGGCTGGAGTATATTTTGATGTCTCATCTTTGGGACGCTTATTTTCTAGTCTTGGGAGCCTTTGGGGCCCTTCGTGGGTCAGCCATTGTTCAGCTGGCTCTGCGACGTTTTGTTGCCGAAGTATGGAGTATGATGACCGCCCTCTAGCCTTGGAGGTAGGAGTGATCTTCTCCGATTTGGGCTCTGGCCATTAATCAACTGAGTCAGATGTTCGGCTATACGCTGCCGAGTTAGCTAATAGCTATGCGTTAAGGGCTCGAGCCGTTATAGGTCAGTTGAGTCGGTTTTCTTAATCGGTGATACACTGTCGAGCTTCGTGCTATGCCTGCTGGTAGGTCAGCCGATTTAGCTGAATCAATGCAATGTGTCGTGCTTGTGTTGGTCAGTCGGCTGTGTAGTGCAACGGTGTAGCGCAGCTGTGTAGAGTGGCGGTATGTAGTGCAACTGTGTAGTGTGGCGGTGTAGCGCGGCGGTGTAGTGCGGTTGTGTAGTGCGATTGTGTAGCGCAGCTATGTAGTGTGATTGTGTGTGTGGTTGTCGGGAACGCAGGAGCGGGTCATGGAGGCAAACCACCTTACTGTGTCTTTCTTCTCACGCTTGGACCGCGCTCCCCTCCTTTTCAGCCGGTGCGTTTTGGGGTCCTCGAGGTGAGGATCATCCTTCGTACGCATCGTGGCATGGGGGGGACAGTCTTGATGGGCGGTGCCGTGGATCCCAGGTTCTACATCATTTTGAAGATCTTGTTGACTTTCTCTTGCATTGCTCGAAACTGCATAGAATCAACCACGGGTGGAGGTTGTGGAATTTCTTGATGTGGAGGGCTGCGATGAAGAGATTCCCGAGATGGGGATCGGCCTGTTGATCGTTCGGACTAGTTCTTGGTTATCTTGATCGCTTTCTTGATTGCGCGGTGAGGAATGAAGGATTTTCGATAAAGGCTTTTTGTGCGTTTCCCATAGACGGCACCAATCTGATGGATGGTTGGGCCGAGCTATATGGATGCTTGTTCAAGCTAATTAGTAGTATGAGTGTTAGAAGTTGGGGGTCCCTTACCTCGAGCATGGAGTACCTTTTTATAGCCGAAGATCCATGTCCTGGTCGAATTGGGTTTCTGGGATTGTCAGGATGAGATTAGCCACCGGGGTATTCGAGGTAGAGTCCCATTCCCTAGTGGAGTCATCTTCTTTATTCCTATTTATCTGTAGTTGTGCTCATCCATGTGACATGTAGTTGACGTGGCTGAAAGGAGAAGATGGGGGGCCACCATAATAGCGTAGCTCGGCCGAGCTAAGCCAACGTGGCCAGGCGATAACTGGGCGACCACGTGTCTCGCAAGGCCAACTCAGCCATGACCCGAACAGAAGGTATTTAGACTTTTAGAGTTGCCCGACGGTGCTGGTGGCTAGGATGCAATTTCACGGGAATTTTTGGGTATCCGACCTGTCTTGACCTTAATAGGACCCGTTTATCAAAACCTTATAGGGTTTTGGATTTTAGATTAAAACCTATAGGATTTGGGATGGGTTTGGGTTTTAACTTTAGGGTATCCAATTCTCGATACCCAAGATACATAAATATGAACCTATTATATTATATATCACACACAAATTTATAAATTTTATATTATTCTATTATTAATATTTTATTTGTATAAATTTCTTGGAATTAAAATCATCATTTAATGTAAATTTGGAGTTGATAGATTGCTTATTTCATTTAGTTATAAAATGTTAATTTTAATTATTATTTCTTTTAATTTTTAGTTAGAATTATTAATCATATATATATATATATATTGATTGTTTTGATGGATACAAAAGATAATAAAATCTATTTTATTTTATTAAATAACACAAAAGGTGAGATGACTTAGTGGCTTAAAGTAGTATTAAGAGATTTGGCGCTATTATTAATTGTTTTAGGTTTAAGTTACACTATAAGCATAAAGGAACATTTTTTTAGTAGAAAATGTTTGGTCAAGGGGTTTAATGGATGAGATGGATCGGGATGGGTTTAACGGGTTTAGAAAATTGAGAGGAAAAGTTAGATGAATTTAAAATTAAGGATAGCATAGACGGGTTTGGGAATGGGGTAGGGCAATTTGCATGGGTTACCCTACCCATTGCCATTCCTACTGCATTGCATTGGTGGTGTTGGTAGTATAAGCAAGCATGAGTATGTGAACCAATTCATGGAACAAAATCCTGTAGACGCTTTAGATGAGCAGCGGTGGCTATTGTTGGAGTTTATAGGTAGCAGTGGGTAGGATAGTAATGTGATGTTAGGTGTTGGAATTTCTCGAATGCATTTGTTCCTGGGTGTTGATTTGGAAAGGTTAGGAGAGGGGATGAGGACATTGCACCGTTCTAGGAATTAGTAGTTTTGCCACCATAAAATAATTACTTTGAAGGGTAGTTTTGTCATTTTTAAAATATTTAAGTCACAAAATGATGTCACATGATATTTATAATTGACAACTAGTTAATGGTAGGTACTAAATTGATACATTTTGAAAATTTAGGTACTGGATTAACATATTTTGAAATTTGAGGACCAAAATGACACAAGACCCAAAGTACATAATACTAATATAAAATTTTCCCTTAATTTAATTATGACTAAAAAAATTAGCTATAGATTAATTTAATTATAACTATAGCCTAATTTTATATATTTATTAATATTTAAGTATTTTCAATATTTAAGTGATATTTACAAAATATTGTAACATTTAATCATTAATAAAGTAAAATAAATAAAATAAAATACAAACAAATAATATGAAAAAATAACTATTTCATTAAGTAACTAACAATAATTTGTTATTTTTGTTAAAACATTAATATAATTAATACAAATTACTAAATTAGTAAATCATTTTTATACAAAATTATTAAAATAAAAATTTAATTATTTTAAATAACATTACATTTTTTTTGATTATTTCACTTTCCCTTCATAAATTCCGTACATCACACGGATACCCGCCAGTTAAATTTCGTTATCGTCGCTCTCTTTTCTCTCTTGCACGGGTTTGTTATAATTGGGATGCAGGATGCTGCTAAGAATGCAGTTCATGTTCGTGCTTTAACTTTTGTGTTGGGGTTATCAAGCTGTAAATTCTTCTCCTAGTTCCAGAAATTAAACTCTTGACTCCACCTATATTGTGAAGTTAACACCAAGAACTCGGTTTGTTTCCCGACTTTATGTTTGATTTTGCTTCTTATTTATTTGGTTGTTTTGCATGAGTGAGCTACAGCTTTTTTTGTACTATCTTTTGGATTTTCAGTTAACATAATTTGATCCGGTGAACAAAGAAACTGCTTTGATTGTCCATACTTAATCCGATTTTTGGAATTTAGGGTTTTCAATGATATTATTTTACATTCTTTCGTTTCAATTTGTCATACGTTTGAACCAATATTGGAGTTGTTGTAATTAGGATGTAGGACAATGCTGAGAATGCAGTTCATGCTTTAAACTTTTTTGTTGGGGGTTATCAGGCTGTAAATTCTTGTCCCAGATTAAGAAATTAAGCTCTTCACTGTACCTATATTGAAGTTAACTCCCAGAATTCGGTTTATTTCCTGTCTTTTTGTTTGATTTTGCTTCTTACTTATTTCGTTTGGTTGTTTTGCACGAGTGAGCTATAGCTTTTTTGTAATATCTTTTCGATTTTCGGTTAACATAATTTGATTCTTTGAACAAAGAAACTGTTTTGATCGTCCATACCCAATCCCATGTTTGGAATTCAGCGTTTTAATCACTTGCTTGGATGACAGGTTTTGGTAGATTTGTTTTTGAAGAAGGATGGGAGAAAGGAAAGTACTTAACAAGTATTACCCTCCGGATTTTGATCCTTCCAAGTTGCCCAGGAGGAGGCAACCCAAGAATCAGCAGATAAAAGTACGTATGATGCTTCCAATGAGTATTCGGTGCAATACTTGTGGAAACTATATCTACAAAGGTACCAAGTTCAATTCGCGGAAAGAAGATGTAATTGGGGAGGTAAGCTTCCTCTTCCGATTTTTTTTTTTTTTTTTTGCATTTATATTTTCCTCTAGTTGCATATTGTTCATTTTATGTGCAATATTAATGTCTGTTTGGTTGTCACAATAAAGTACAAGGAACATAGACAAGATTACCTCCAACAAATGCACAGAAACTAAAAGTAGATCTTATGCCATCTAATGGTCCAGCTGAATGTGTTTGTAAAGATCTCTATTTTCATCTTATCATATCATGTTTATAGTATAGAATACCTTTCCCAAGGCAACCTTTCAAGTAGGCAAGGATCCTATAAGCTACTACAAAAGTGAATAATTTGAGAGGCAGGCGTTGGCGAACGACACTCACTGTGTATGTGATGTTTGGCTGAGTCATATATTGATAGCATTAGTGCTATGATTTAGGTTAATAGGATTATCTATTGGTTTTGCTCCTAACTTCCCTATATCCCTAAGAAGATAAAGCACATACTCATGCCGAGAAACCTAAATGCCATGTTGTCATTGGGCTACCTTGATCTCTAAAAAATGCCTCAACTCTCCAAGATCATTGATCTTAAACTCTATTCCCAAAAAATTCTTTAGATCATCCATCTCTTGCTCATCATTACCTGTAAGAAAAATATCATCCACAGACTATTGGAATTGTAATCAACCCTCACTCTACACAATCAATGTATGATCAAACTAGAATTGAGAATACCCCACCTTCAGTAATGCATTCCTAAAATGATTAAACTAATCATGGGGAGATTGTTTAGCCCATATAAATACTTGTTGAGCTTACACAATATACTCCCCAGTGAGTCACTATAAAACTAGGTGGTATCTCCATTTACACTTTTCTTGAAAGTCAAGATTTAGGAATGCTTTCTTTACATCAAGCTAATAAAGCGGCTAGGAGTAATGAGAAACAAGTGATAACAGCACTTAGATTGAAGTCATCTTTTCCACAAGGTTGAAAAGATGTAAAAAAGTGTGAAAAGACAGTTGTGTCCCTCACATTACAATTACAAGAAATAAAAACAATATTGCTGTACAGGTATGATATAGTAAACTATAATCTATATGAGAACAGTGTTCCCAAGCAAACATAAGTTAAGATCAGCCTTCAGTCTTATGATCTTTACACTCCCTCTCAAACTGGTGCTAGGAAGTGAGCACCAGTTTGTCAACTAGAAAGGCATGTCCGGCATGTGTCATTGCTTTAGTAAAATGATTGGCTAGCTGAAGTCCTGAAGAAATAGGGGGAAGAGTGATGTTGGTCAGTAAGGAACTAATCTCTAATATAGTGGAAATTAGCTTCTATGTGCTTGGTGCACTCATGGAACACTAGATTTGTGGCAATCTTTATTGCCCTCATATTATTTGCAAATAAGGGAACTAGGGTTGAATGGTCTACTCTCAATTCCATAAGTAAAGCTTTGAGCCAAATGATTTCATTGCAAGTAGATGACATGGCTTGACACTCAGCCTCTGTGGAAGACTTGGAGATAATTTGCTCTTTCTTGCACTTCTAGGAGACTAAGGAGTTAACAAAGAAGATACACCAACCAATAGTAGATCGCGAGTACTGGTTGGATGATGATATGCCCCATATCAGGAGTATTATATCGATACTTTAAACCTTGGCTGGGTGGATGGTGATGAAGGAAAGAAGAGGCCATGAGAAAGTGTGCCATGAATATACCGAGTGATCTGAAATACAGTAGATAAATGAGGCTGTTGAGGTTAGGAGACAAATTGACTAACAACTTGCATAGCATATGAGATATCAAGTTGGGTCATAGTCATTAGTCAGATATATTAAACTTCCCACAAGTTGTCTATATAAAGTAGCATCAGGAAATAAAGCACCATCATCCTTGGACAACTTCAAGTTAAGCTCTAGGGGAGTATCCGCCTCCTTGGAATCAGTTAAATTAGCAAGTTTAACAAGGCCAAAGGCATATGTCTGTTGATTAACGAAGTAGCCATTAGAATGATGTAGACCTCCGTTCCTAAAAAATAAGTCAGCTGTCCAAGGTCTTTTTGTCCTAAATGTGTGACTAATCAACTTTTTCAAAGAGTGTATACCGTCATGATCATCCCCTATGATAATAATGTCATCAACATATAAGAGGGGCACCGTAATACCTTGCATTTTGAGAATGAAATGTGAGTAATTTGAAGATCTCTGAGAGAATCCTATTTCAAGAATGACACTACAAAATCTTTTAAACCATGCCTGTGGAGCTTGCTTAAAGCCATATAATGACTTCTTAATTTGGCAAACCAACTGAGGGTTAATAGAGTAGTTAGGAGTGGCTTCATATAAACAGTCTACTAAAGATGCCGATGAAGAAAGGCATTCGTAACATCCTTCCGATGTGTCACCCAGTCTTTTGTAGTAGAAATAGTTACAAGCAATTTGACAGTAGTCATTTTTGCATTAAGAGTAAAAGTCTCGTCATAATTGATTCCATTCTCCTGTTTATAACCAATTAACCCTATGCAGCCAAATGAGCCTTGTATCTGTCTAGAGTGCAATCAGATTTAAGCTTGAAATAATACACCCAACGGCTACCAATAACTAAGGCATCTAGAAATAGAAGGAACAAGTTCCCAGGCATTATTTTCAAGAAGTGACTGGATTTCCTTGTACATAGCATCTTTCCAATGCAAAATCACTTATTGGTAAGCCTTTGGAATCTTTGTAGAAGAAAAGACAACAGAGGATGAGCTATGGTTGGAATTAAAACCATAGAGGGTAAGTGGTTTGGACAGTCTAGTAAAATGATGCAAAGGAGGAACAAAAGATGGAATAGGCTCATCAGAAAGTAAGGGAGTGCTTACAATGTTTGGAGAAGGTGGATGGACAGCTTTTGGTGGTGAGGAGAGCAAGGGCATAGTAACTTGAACAATTGGCATTGTAGTGTCGATCACTACACTGTTGATCACTCTTTGTTTAGTAGAAATGCTTCTTCTAAGAAGATTGTTTTAGTTGTGTATTTTGATGATATTATTGTTACGGGGAGTGATGTACAAGGAATTAATGAGTTGAAACAGTTCTTGCAAAAATCATTCCACACTAAGGACTTAGGGCCCTTGTGGTATTTTCTTGGACCCTTCAAAGGAAGAGAGCAAATTTTGGATCCCCTCACCCTCAGGCTCTTTCTCTTGTGCATCTCTGTTCAAAACTTTAACTCAGCAACCTTCTCTTCCTGGTTTGTCTTTCCCTGTTAAAGAGGTCTGGTGCAAACCCATTCCTCCTCAGGTTGGGAAACTTTCCTGGAAAGAGTCATTACAAGTGATCTGCTTCAAAGAAAGAGACCCAAGGCTTGTTTATCCCCGCATAGGTGTATTCTTTGCAAGGCGGATGGGGAATCTGGTTACCACCTTTTGATATCTTGCCACTATGCTAAAACTATATGGGAGTGGGTTTTTTCACTTTTTGGGTGTATCTGGAACCCCCCAATGAATGTACAAAGTTTGTTTTCCCCTCCCTTCTTCAACTGGCCAATGAAAAGAGGTAGGATCATATGGAGGTGTCTGAGGACTATGGTGTGCTGGACCTTATTGGAAGAAAGAAACTCAAGAATTTTTTCAAATCAGGAGAGAAACATTGAGAACCTAATAGAGTTGATTCATATTAGGGTTGCACATTGGCTGAAATCTTTGGAATTATTTCATAGACTTCACCATGGATGTGTTGAGAAGTTGGAAAGAGATAGCAAGTTCTGCCCAGATTAAAAGGAGCAAGGTTTGGCTGGATGCGATGGCTGTTCAGCAGGCTGTGGAACCAATGATGAGGTTCCACGCCAGTAATAAAATACATGGAGCTCACACCTTTTACAGTGGGGCCCATGAATTTATTACTGGTGTGGAACCTCATCATTGGTTCCACAGCCAGCCGAACAGCCAACACGTTCAGCTAATCCGAATTCAATTAAAAGGGATACAAGTCCCTCTTGGATACCTCCCCCCTTGGGCTTCCTAAAACCGAATTTTGATGGCAGCAACCTTGGGAGCCCAGGTTTGTCAGGTATCGGGGGAGTATTCATGAATGAGGAGGGGATTATTTCAGCTATTAACTCTGGCTCTATTGGAGAGGATGACTCTCTAAGGGCTGAGATCTTTGCAGCGTTGGAGGGAGTTCAAAGAGCTAGGGAGCTGAACATTAGGAGGCTGATAATTGAAGGAGACTTGGAGGTGGTGGTAAGATGGCTAAAGGAAGACAAGACTGCTATGTGGAATTACAACAATGAAAGGAAAAAATTTAAATGGCTGGCAAAAGACATTGAGATAAAATTCAGTTGGGTGAAGAGATCTGCTACTCATTTGCGGATGGGATAGCAAAGCAAGGGGTGATTAGAGATTCTTTGTTTTGGGCTCATTGCAGGGGAGTTAAGATAGCTTACCTCCCTTTGTTTGTGTATATGCTTCTTCTTTACTCTTAATGAAATTCATTGTTATTTATCAAAAAAAAAAGCAAGGTTGAAGTGGGGAATCTCCCTCTCTCACAGAGGAAGCATGTACTCTATTTGTTGGAGGAAATGGGATTATTCGGAACAAAACCAGTAGATATCACAATGATCCAAATATTAAGATGCTGATAGTGAGGGGGAGTTTATGGATGATCCTGGGAGATATAGAAGACTAGTGGGAAAACTTATTTATCTCACTATTACAAGGCTAGACATTTCCTTTATTAAGTCAGTTTATGTAGAACGTAAGGATGATTCATTGGGAAGGTATTTTAGGGTTCTATGCTACTTGAAAGGTGCTCCAGGTCAAGGGTTGTTGTATAAGCAAGGAGGAGAACTATCCTTGGAAGGATACACAAATGCAAATTGGGCAGAATTGGTCTCTAATAGGAAGTCCGTAACTAGTTATTGAACTTTCTTGGAAGGAAATTTGGTCACTTGGAAGAGTAAGAAGCAAAGTATGGTTGCCAGGAGTAGTGCTAAGGCTAACTGGTGTATCCTGTGTAAATTGAATGGTGAGACTGTTTTCCACCTTCTTATATCTTGCCCTTTTGTCAGTTTTATTTGGAATTGGTTTACTTCCCTTTTTGGGTGCAGGTGGTCCTCTCCTGACAGGGTCGAAGGCTTATTCAACCCTAATGGTATCAGTGGTATGACTAGGAGGGGAAGATTTCTTTGGAAATGCACTAGAGCAGCAATACTTTGGACCATCTGGGAGGAAAGAATGATAGGATATTTGAAAGTAAAGAAAAATGCAAGGAAGCTTTAGTTGAAACAATAACATTGAGGGTGGCTCATTGGGTAAAAAGTTTGAAGCTGTTTTCAGCTTTCAAGGTTGAAGATTTTTTCAGGGTTTGGGGACTTATTGCTGCTTCATCATCTATGAGACGACAGCTTGTTGAGAATTGGTCCCCTCCAATAGAGGGTTGGAAGAAGCTAAATTTTGATGGGAGTTGTGTGGGTAACCCAGGCCCTTCAGGCATTGCGGGGGCCATTAGAGATGAAAATGGTTCCATAATTGCCCTTTACTCCGGTTCAGTGGAGGTAGGTGATGTGACAAGGGCAGAGTTTCTAGCTGCAGTATATGGGGTTGAGAAGGCCAAAGAGTTGGGGATCAATAGACTGATCATCTAGGGTGATTCAAAAACTGTGATAAAATGGTTGCAGAAAGGTGAAGGGGTGACATGGCAGTCGAAGAATGAATTCAGAAGATTTAAATGGATGTCAAGGAACTTGTCAATTCAGGTGAGATGGGTAAGGAGATCTGCCAACAGCCTGGCAGATAGCTTAGCAAAGCAAGGGGTTCACAGAACAGATATGTTTTGGGCATACTTGTAATCTGTACTGGGTCAGCTTACTATGCTGATTTCTTTTGTATCTTATTATTGTACCCTAAAGTATTTTAATCAATAAAAGTTTCAAGTTAGTGATAAAAAAAAAAGTAGTGCTAAGGCTGAGCATTAGAGCCACGACACATACTACTTGTGAATTGGTGTGGTTAAAGCAGTTGTTATAGGAAATTGTTGTGAGAATTTCAACTCCTATTAAGCCGTTTTGTGACAATCAGGCAGCAATCCATATTTCTTCCAATCCACTATTTTATGAAAGAACCAAGTACAAAGAAAATTGCAAGTGGAGAAATTGTTACAACTTGTGTGAAATCAAAAGATCAGTTAGCCAACCTCTTCACCAAAGGCTTAAACTGTAGTTGGATGAAACACATTTGTAGCAAGTTGGGGCTTTATGATATATATGCTCCAACTTGAGGGGGAGTGTTAAACTATAGTTTATTATGTTGGTAGGATCACATTGGTCTTTTTCCTTTCTTTTATTATGTCCTTTATTTCGTTTGTTATTTGAGTAGGGGTGCAATTGTAATTTTATCTTTCATTATAATAATAATAATAATAATAAAAGATGGGCAGCAGTTGAAATCAATTAGTTTGATCTCTCTGCTCTTCAGCCCTATTTTTCTTTTCTTCTCTTCTACTTCTTGACTGAATAAATCTGGTTAGAATTTTTACTTTATTTTCTCGTTGATTAAGAGTGTTTCAGATCTGATCACAACTTTTCAGATCGTCTCATAACTTGAGCTCATTCTTGGGAATTGAATCAAGTCTTTTTGATTGGTAAAGTTGAATAAGTTCTTAATAGTCCCAAAAGGTGATTGTGCATTTCTTACGAAGTCTGGCCACTATTAGAAAGACAAACTACTGGATTCACATTATATTGTCTGATTAAGGAAAATATTAATTGGTTGCCTTATTTCTCTCTCTGAATCTTTGTTCACTGACCTAGTTTGATTTATGTTCAATCGTTTCCAGACATACTTAGGAATCCAAATGTTCAGGTTCTACTTCAAATGCACCAAGTGTTCAGCTGAACTGACAATAAAGACTGATCCACAAAATTCAGACTATGTTGTCGAATCAGGTGCAACTCGTAATTTTGAGCCTTGGCGTGCAGAGGATGAGGTGAACAACTAGCTTGCAATATATAATCTTTTCTCATATTTGTGCATATATTCTTCATTGGCTTCTTGAAGTTTAAAACTTGTTTCAGGATTTCATTTTAAATTGTATTTCTTTCATCAGGAAGAAGAAAAAGAGAAGAGGAAAAGGGATGCAGAAGAGATGGGGGATTCAATGAAATCTTTGGAGAACAGAACACTGGATTCAAAAAGAGAAATGGACATACTTGCTGCACTGGATGAAATGAAATCAATGAAGGTAGCTGGCTGGTTAGACAGTTTTCACTAATCCATTTTGCTTTAGATACTGAAATAAAGCTGTACTCCATTGATTTTTCAGTCAAGACATGCAACTGTAAGTGTGGATGCAATGCTCGAGGCCTTGCAACGTACAGCTCAAGAAAAGGTATGCTGCTTTTGTTTTTTTTTTCCTTTATTTATTTTTGATTGGTAACAGTTTGGAATTGATTGTGGATAGAGAATAGTATTTGCAAGTGATTGAAGTTCTGGCTACTAGGCTGGCTGCTACCTAACCCCATATCTGTTGTAACAAAGATAAATGTTTTTTTTTGGATGAATAACAAAGATAGAAAAATTGTAAACTCCTTAAAACAATTGTTCCCTCTTAACCCATTGGCTAGCCAGGAAATCAGCTACTCTATTTTCTGCTCTATTAACCAAAGGGGTGGTGATATGAGCCAAGCCGAGCCAAATATTGGACTATTTGAACTTGGCTTGACAGAAAATATAAGGCTCGAGTTTGATCTCGAGCTTGATTCGAGCTACAAATGCTAGCTCAAATTTGGCTCGATTCAAAATCTTTTTTTTTTTTTTTTTTTTTTGAGCTTGACTTGGCCCGAGCTCGACAATGAACCAAGCCTACTTGAGCTCGAATTTGAGCTTGAACTCGATAACCTATTCAACTCAAAATTACCTACTCTCATCAAACTAAGAAGAATGAATTAAAATCGAGGGATCAATTAAAATCCAAACATAAAACTAAAAGTCATTAATTTGTCTAAGGTAGAAGAATACTCTAGATTGGAAAAACTTGTATAACCATTTTCTGCAACCAACTCTCAGTCTCTAGCTGGTTAACCATTTGCAGATATTAGTGAAAAAACATGCTTCAAGCCTTCAGAACTATTATTAATCTACCATCTTGGAGGAGAGCAGTTGTTTACTTCCCAGAAATGAGTTTGTTTTCTTGGCAGGCCTTGGATGTTCAGACATTATATATATATTTGATCAGCAACAGAAAATTTATTAATTAAGTGAAAAGTTACAGCTAGGTAGCCTTGGCTATCCCCTTACATATTTAACACAGAAACATTCAACAACAGAAAACTTTATCTTTTTTACAATTCAGCCATTATCTTAGAGAGGCTAGACATCTGGAATCTACAATGAACACTTCATTTGGATGGATTAGCATAGCGACATACCCCCCAGCAGACGGTCTAGCCAGATGATGTCTGGGGAGAGTGGAGCTGTTTTGAGAATCATCCCCTTAGGATGATAGCTATTTTATTTTAATATCTCTGAAATTTCTTGGCCTTCTTCTTTTGTCTATGTTTGGTTTGATGGCATATAAGAGAGGAAAAGAAAGTTGAGGGAATGTAATAAACAAATTTATGAAATTCCTTAAGAACTTCCTCAACCTTCTGTTTTGCTCTTATTTTCTGTCAAACCAAAAAGGCAAAAACAGCCTTGAGGCTTGCATTCTGGTTTCTCCTTACTTGGATAAACTAGATGCTTGTGTCTTCTTACAGCTTTGATGACATATTGTTACATTTCATTGATCTGGTTATTGATAAAAATTATGGCTTTCCAACTATTAATTATGTTGTTGAAGTTCTGATTTTTGTTGAAGTATCTATTTGCCTGACAGGAGAAGAAGCTGGAAGAAGAGGATGAGGCACTTATAAAGTCAATTTTTTTCCAAGTTAGTATACAACATCCCTATAAATTCTAGTTTAATCTCATTTTACAGCTCGTAGGAGCTTTTATTTATTTACTTTCAATGACCAGGAATCCTATAGTTTCCAATTTAAATTTTGATGCAGGGATCAAGAAATTTTGTTCGAAGAATTGATGATGAGGATGAAGATGTGGATGATGACAACAATTTAAATCTACTTTCAACTGATACTGGTGAACAAAATGATTCCAAAGTATGATTTCCCCTGATGATATTGTATTCCTTTTCTTTTAGTGGAGATTGGTACAAACTACAAATATGGCACATGTTCATGAAAATTTATGACAAATCAATGCTTTTTCTTCTTGTACTTTCATGGTAGGATCTCTTTAAATATGTATTATAAATCGTATCTTTTTTCCAAACAGAAATTAAATTAGTTCGAATAAAATCTCTTGAAGTTGGAAAATCAATTTTTGTTGGTTTGTCAACTGGATCATGATGGCAACTTGTATTGATTCTTTGGTTCATTGCACTGTCACACCCCTAATTGTATATGGTAGTGCTCTAACTCTCAACTATTGCACTGAGACAAGAGATGAGTATTTATCCAAGGTTCAAAGTATCGATACACCCGGATACGGGGCAAGGGGTGTATCGGTACTTTGAACCTTGCGCCCATCCTTTTTTTTCAAAAATAGGTCAGGGGGTAGGTCTTAGGCCTGTCTACCCCCTGAAATAGGTCAAATCGCCAAAGCCTTTTGATTTAGTGCATCAGTGGGGTCACCAATACGTGACAAAATTTTGAACCTTGTTTATATCAGTATTGCAATACAAGTTGAAATTAATATGAGGTTTGAAAAGAAGAAGAGCAGGTATATTGGGAAAATGGCAAGAATTTGAGTAGAGAAAAGACGAGCACTCAACATGTTTTATGGAGTGAAAATAGGAAAGTACAAGAGTATTTCAAGGTAGTTCTCTGGCCTTGTGTGCGGTAGCACTAGAGGAGTATCCCAGGATGGTTCAAGTGCCATATTCTTTGCATTCTTTGTCCCTGGATTGGCTCATTCAAACACTCTTCTCTATCATTCATGGTGCATATCATCCAACTCCATGGTGTTGGAGAGAGTACTTGTGACATTTGATTCTCACATTATGACCACTCAATACATGAAGGTTTAATGAGAGGAGGCTTGTTCCTTGGTTTCCAGATGGAAGATCTTGTTCAAATAGACTGGAAGTCAGGTTGTAATATTGCTGACCTGTTCTGAGAGTTGAAAACATCTTATCCTGTAATGGTTTGCTTCTTTTTGCAATAGATTTCAATTTAGGGATTGAATTGAAGGTGAACTTGTGTGTGGATTTATGCATATACACATGCAGATATCAAAGACCTCATGGATGTGCTTTGTTTGTACTTGACTCACCATAATTACATTATGCTATTAAAAACAGCAAGAAAATGTTTGTGAAATTTTATGGAAAAATTACTCTTCATCTATAACTAATTAAATCTCCTTAGATCATATTAGAAGTTATCTATTATAATATCATATTCTCTATTTACTTTGCCACCATTCAGCTTTTCTGAGTGTTTCTTGCTTCATGATGTTCTTTAAATATTTGTATTTGTAATATTTCACTCCATGGTCATTGAACTATGTGTTTACCAACTTGATAACTCATGAATATGTCTGGTGCAGAGAAGGAAAGTTTCAGAAGAACCATTGGACAAACCAACGGATTCATTGACAAAAGGCAGTACTTTTGACAGCTCAAATGGTAAAGGTAGGTTTTGTAATTTTTCTTTTTTGAATGGTTATCTTTTGGGTATCAATATCAGGTTTAAGACCATGTAATCTCTTAGAATGTAGTTTGTAAATCACAGCTCCTTGCTTAATATGCTGCAATTCTTGTCATATTTCAGTTTTTTGTAGTTTTAGATAATTGTCTAGAAACTTGGGTTGGATGTTTAATTCCCCTACCTGAAAATCAATTATATTCCCAGAGTCCATTTACAACATGTTGAATCAATTTAATATGTTCTCATTTTTGAAGTGCACCTCTACTCGGAAAATGACCAAGTTCCATATATCTTTCATTCACTAACAAATTTGTTTTGTCTATTTCGATTCATTGCAGAATCAATTGGTGGTGCTGGTGCTCGTAAGGAAGGTAACTTTATCTTTACCTCTTCCTCGGTCAGAGTTTCTGTCGTTAAAAAGCCTCTTTCCACTTCAAATGCAAGTCAAGTAAAACAAGAAGAAAATAAGCAAGAGGAACCAAAAACCATTGCTTCCGGTGGAAATCAAATAAAACAAGAGAGCAAGCATGTAGAAGAACCCAAAACTGGTGATACAAGCACTGGACTGCAAGCCTTATGCCAAAATTATGACTCTGATGATAGTTATTAGTGTTTTTTTTTTTTCTTTTTTGTGTGTGTTTATTTTATAAGGAAAGCAACTTCATTATGTTTGATAAAACATTACAAACTGATTAGATGGCCCTTTGTAGTCATTATGTATTTGGGCTTTACATGCCAAAAGGAAAGAGCTGGACCATTTGGTTAATTTGTAATGGATATCATCAAAATGATGTACAATATTTCAAAAACAATTCCAATGGAGCTGTTCAATCCATGAGTGAGCTGCTTGATATTCAAAAAAGAAGCTGATCTAAAACCTGCTATTAGTGATCGAATTTCAGCTTCATAGCTACATCATAGCTATTTCAGTATTTTGAGCCCAGCATCTTGAACCACCTGCTTTGAGAACTTCATTTGATGGCTGTTGGAGGAAAGCGCATCCTGCATGACCTGTGTTTCAATCATGGATTTCATGAGCCATTTTCATTTAACAAATCTGCAACTCTTAGGTGTTGAGTTCAGCTAGGTGATGTGGGGCGGGATGGAGGCAATCCACTTGGTAATGATGGTATCCATTGATCTTGGAAAACTGAAATACTGCAAACATCTTTGATTAGCCAAAACAAATTTTGCTGGAGCTCTTTTAGGATACCACGAGCTTGTTTCCACCAAATAGAGCTTGAGGATTTAACTTTAGATTGGAGCAGAGTTGTACTACTTAATGCGTTAGGCCCAAATGCAATCTGAATTGGCCAACAATCTCCATATTTGCTTACCGAACTGAGCCTTGCTCATAGCTAATTTCTGCCTGAAACCCGTGCCATTGCCACCTTGGTCCTTGGTTTTTGGGGAGGCATAGCTTGTCCCAAGTTATAGTGTGTTTGCCACCAAAAATCTCTTTCTAACTTTTCAAGAGTGCTCATGGTCTTTTTGGAGATGAGTGTAGTACTCATTGCATAGGTAGGAGTGGTTTGTGCCATTGATTTCCTATTTTCATTAGAGTAGTACGACCAAGTTGAGATAGGAGTTTAGAGCTCGAGGCATTAAACTTAGATTTAACTTGCTCCATTATGAAGCTTTGTGAATGATGAATGTGAGGATCATCAACTATTACACCAAGATACTTAGAACCAGCTAAAGGATGTTTGACATTGAGAAGCTTAAAAATGAATTTCTAATTATGCCGTGGTACATTTTTACTGAACTTCATGTAGTTGATTTGTTAATTTGAGAGAGCTTCAAAGGTGAAAAACAAATCTTTGAGAGTTTTCATTTGTTTGATGTCAGCTTTGTGAAAAAGGATACAATCATGTGCAAAAAGGAGGAGTAATTCGGGGATTTGCACTACCAATTTCGATGTCTTTTCAAGCTTTTCTGCTGAGACGAGTGAGGGACTGGTGGCTATGCCTATAATAAAGAGATGGTGTGATAATGGGAGTCCTCTATGAAGAAAGAAATTAAATTTGGCTTCTCTACCAATTTTAATGGAAAAAGTACTTAGGGTCCGTTTGGTTTACAGTCGGAATTAGAATCCTTCAGATTCGGAATGGTTTATTCCCAATCTGTTTGGTTCAGATAAGAATGAGAATGGGAATTAGAATCAGCAGGAATGAGATTTTATTCCCAAGAGAGGGGCAGGGAATGGTCATTTCCTCAAATGGGGAATGTCATTCCAGCAGGAATGAGAATGAAATTTCGATTCTACCCAACCAAACAGTTGGAATCGGAATAGCCCATTTCAATTCCGATTCCAGACCCCTATTCCTGCAAACCAAACGGAGCCTTATATTTCTTTAGCTAAAAAGTATTTTATCTGCAATTTGGCAGTTTTTAAGAAAGCCGGATTGCTTGAGAGAAGTCACTTCTTGTAAAATAAGTTGCATTCTAAGAACTAACCTTTTAGTAATCATCTTGAAAGACACATTACAGAGGCATATTGGTTTGAAGTGTGAGGGATATTTAGGAGAGTTGTTTATGGGAATAAAGATTTAAGTTAGCTTGACGAGTCCTTGTGGAAGGGAAGATATCTTGGAAAAATAATAATATTATTAATAAAATATTCCTAAATTAATAATAAATATTAAGATATTAATTATTAAATAGATATAAAATAATAATAACAAAGTACTAATAAAATAATAATAAAACAATACTAATAAACTATTAACAAAAAATAAATCATTAATAAACCTGTAATAAAATATTCATAATTATATATTTGTAAAATATTAATAAACTAATAATAAAGTACCAACATATTGATAATTAAATACTAATAAAACAATAATAAAGTACTAATAATATAATAAATTAATTAATTAATTAATAAATCAATACAAAATTGAAGATTTTAGATTGATTCAGATTTTGATTCCAAACGAACCAAACAACAATGAGTAGAATCCAATTTCGATTTCCAAATAGGCATTAGGAATAGATGACTCCGTTTTTTATTCTAATTCCAATTTCGATCCTAACCATGAACCAAACGGATCATAAAAGCTGACATGGTGTATTTTTAGATTTTGTCCTTACATGATAAGGAAGAACCGTGGTGTCATAGATTCATAGATTGTGTAGTTTCATATGATGCCATGTGTACTGGAAGACCATAACGCTCAAGGAGCCAAAAAAAAAAAAGGGAAATTTTCACTTTAGTACCCTGAACTTTGGGGATAATGTCAAGTTAGTACCTGAACTTTTAAACGTATCATTGTAGTACCTAAACTTATAAAAAGTGTCAAATTGGTCCATGCCGCTAACCGATCGTCAGTTATCTATTAAAAATGTCAAAACTACCCTTCAAATGAAGACACCTGCCGTTAAGGTCATTAGCCTTGCAGCACTGAACAAGGTCTCTCTCTCTCTTTCTAATCCCAAACTTCAGTTGGAGAGGCAGCTACCTAAAATTTTATTAATAAAACCATTCAAAATAAGAGAATACAGGGGAGGACGTAGCCCGCCTTGCCCCTAAACCCAGGATACAGTTCACATCCTAACACTCAAACCCAGACCCCTAAGCCGATTCTAATTTTCGGAAAATACAATGTCTTCAAAAATAAAAAGAACGAGTAACACGAGGCATATAAGAGATATGATCATATGCAAAAGATCTTTCCTCCAAAATTACAATTTTAGTCAATGAGCCAGCTACAGAGTTCCCTTCTCTAAGAGTATGCTGCAGTTGAACATCATTGAATTGAACAATCCTATCTTGAATGCCATCAATTCATTTTGAATAATGTCCACCATAACTTTAGGCTCATTTTGGAAGGAGTACAAATACAAATTTGTAGAGTGTAAAATCTTATATTTTGTATGTATTTGCACTCTACAAATTTGCATTTATACTCCTTCCAAACTGAGCCTTAAGTCACTCTCTATTATCATCCAATTGGGCCCAAGTGCTTTAGCATAAGAGAGAATCTAAACTGACTCAACATTCATCAATGATATTTGAGCCGAAATTGTAAAAGGAGGTAAAAGCAAAGATAAAGGCTCCTTGCTCATCTCTAAAAATTCCACCACCCCCACATTTAATTTGCCTGGATTACCTGAGCACACACCATGAACATTAATTTTAATCTTTCCAACTGGTGGGTGTTCCCATTTGACAATTCTAATTTTGGGACAAGGTCCACTGAGTTCAAATAATCTTCCCATAACATCTTACAACACATCCCCGCCATATACTGAGAACATCTCCAGATGATGATATCATCATTTCTGGTACTTTTATCGGGAAATGTTCTCAATACATGACAGGAATGTGCTGTGGGTTGCTGGACAGTTTGGAATTAGGAAATTCAGCTCATGAACCCAATGATATATTTTTTGAATAACGGGGCAAGGAAACCACTATCAAATTTAACTAGGAGTATCAGCTTTTTGCTATGTAAAATCAAAACAAGATTCGATCTCTAATCCATTGGTAAGGAAACAATGGAATATCTAAAATTTGATAGAAGTGAGACCAAACCTTGGTAGCAAGAGTGCCAAAGGACGACAGATGATCTGTGGTTTGAACTTTCGTCTCCTGGTAGCATTTACAGCCTGAGGCCATCACAATTCATAGGTTTTGAATGGCCGCGTCAGTGGAAATATTACCCCCAAGAATTTTCCAATAATGAAAGCCTATTTTGGTTGGGATCCAGCGGTTCCAAACAAATTTGCTCCACGAGACCTGAGTGGTCGGAAGTCTAATATCTTTTAGGGCAGAACCCAAAATGGCATTTAAATTCAATTTTTTCAATCTTAAACAGATTCCACGCCAACTCAAATTCCCCTTATCTTTTTAATTTCAAAGTTACTAATTAACTTGTGAAGACTAAAATGATCCTGATGGGGCCCACTGTTTAGATCTTTCCCGTTCTCCCTCCTCTTTCGTTGTCTCTCCCACTCTCAATTCTCTTCCTGCAACTTTCTTCCTCCCAAACTCAGAACTCCTCTTTCACTTTCACTCTCACGTTCTCCCTCTGCTGTATCTTCTTCCATTTCTATCGTTTCTCTCACCTGCTTTGACGATACGGGAAGAGGTAGAGATGTTCATTACCCTTTTAGGTGGACGTCCAACACTTCTCTTCGCCGGACTCTTCTGTTCTGTAGCATGTTTTCCGCCAGACCCTGTTGGGTAGCCTGATCTTTCCATCCATCACTCTTTCCATTGCTTTTCTTTTGTACAACTCCTTTGTTATTGTTTGAACCATTTACACTGAACTCTTCAACTCCTTTGGTTCATCAGCTGACCTATCCGGTTTTCTAGTGTTTCTTCTCACCATCTCTTTAGTGGCGAGCTCTCTTAATGCAATGGCAGCAACAGATTCTGGGGAGTTATTGGCGAAGAAGACATTGGCGTTATTGAACAGAAGTAGCAGATCGCGGAAGAACTTGCTGCTACAACTGTTGTACCGCCCTTCTTCCAATTGAGTCTGCACCAGTTCGAGGTCTACGTGTTGCCGCACTAAGCTCGTGTATTTGGCCGCCCTTCTTCGCAGTTGATTACAAACTGGCTTCCAAGCATTTTAAGCAAAATTCTAGGGTTTCTGAGTTGGCATGAAAATCTGTCCTAAGATTGAAAAAGTTAAATTTAAATGCCATTTTAGGTTCTACATGGGCTGGCCTGGATTTCAGAATTATGAAATGGGCTTATCCATACTTTTACCTATCTTGTATAGTCGTACGACACCTTAACGTACCATGTGAATTTGGGTTGTTCATTATTGTGTTGGTTTAATATTGATTTTTGAGAAAGTAGATGATAAATAATATCTTATT